GGCTGACTCGAACCGCTGTTGCTCAGAGCTCAAACTCTTGAGCGAGCTCTTAACCAACTGAGCCACTCAGCCGGCCCTAGACCTATATCTTCTTAGCCATTGATAGCTGGTGAATCTTCTGGCCTTGTTAATTTATCCTGGGAATGCAGTATATTCCTATAGTCAGCCATTTTTCAGATGTCTTCAGCTGAGAGCAGCATTAGGAGCTGCTTGCTTCATTCTTTGCAAACCTCACCATCTCAGTGATAAATTTGAGATAACAAAAAAGTGGGTTACGTGAAAGAGGTGACAGCCAGCAGTTGAAACTCACAGACTGAAGAAAATATACAAAGGCTTGGTTTGGGGCTGGTACATTCTTAAATCAGCTTTTGCTTGAAGCAGTGTATTATAATGAGTTATAAACTAGTTACATCAGCCATTTGGATAATTGAAATTATTACTTTGATGTCAGAACTGCCTGAGTTTTTCCTACTGTTTTCCCCTTTTAGATTTGTGACTCTGTTGGACTGGCAAAACAGATAGCTTTGCATGCAGAACTGGTAAGAATCTAAGATACTTAATTATCCAAGAATGTTAACTAAGTAATATAAGATTTTTCCTATTAACAAAATGATTTTGCTAAGCAATGTTAACACTGGACACTATTACTGATACAGCATTTAGAATTTGGATAAATGGCTAACAGAATGTAAATTTTTGGTGTGCTTTCTCATATAAATGCAAAACAGTAATTTGAAAAGGTTACAAAGGTAATATTAATAGAAAAGTCTAAAGTTAAAATTATTTCATATTTAATTGATTTGTTGTATTCATCTGTTCTTCAGGATCGTAGGGCATCAGAAAAACAAAAAGAAATAGAGAGAGTAAAAGAGAAGCAACAGAAAGAACTCAGTAAACAAAAACAAATTGAAAAGGTATGCAGTCCTAACTAAATGTCTGGATCTTCTCAGATGTGATCTGTATGAAGAGTTTCCATAATTCAGCACTGTGACTTGCAGATTTGAATTTCCAAGTGAAGGCCTGTTTCAGCTTGCTCAGCTATTTCATAACCAGATGATTCACAACATAGCAGAAAAGGATGACATCTGTCTTCTGATATGATGTTTACATTATAGTTTTTACTGACATGTAGAGTCACTTGCCGTTTAGCAAACACACCAGAACTTTCATGTTTCCATATTCTAGTGAAGGTTGTTTCTGTCAAAGCAGGTCTTTTGAGAGGCTTTCTCAAATGTATCTATATGTAAATATATATACTGAGAGAGAGAGACAGAGACAGAGACAGATAGATTTAACTGCCATTCTGAAAGCCATATTGGCCACACACAACACACACACACTTACCAGGAGTGTCAGATCATTGTCCATCCAACATGATGATTTTAAGCTAGACAAATTTCGGAACAAAACCTGGCGAATACATTAGATAGGTGATGCATGAGATTGTAAGCCAGTTATGGGTTGTGTCATTGACAGTCATAGTAGAAAAGAGGAGATAACCGTGGGATACTTAATGAGAACAGATCAGCAAGAATTGGCAATGTATAGACAAAAGAGGGAAGTGGCAAAGATGACACTGAAGTCAAGGCGTCCTGCATAGGTTAAGCTGAAGGAAGATGACAGCTGGCTTAGCAAGGTAAATTGGACAAAGATGAAGAAGGGGGCTACAGAGTGGGAAGGGAAAGGATGTGTAGTTATCCGTTATGAGCCTTTTACTGTATAGTGAGAGAATGTTGGCCTGAATTTGGTTATTGACCATAACAATGGAGAAGAGGGAAATGCTGGCTTTTACAGGATTTCTAGAACGGTACCAGAACTCACTTTGGTGTTGAAGTGGTTGTGTGTAGCTTTTCTTTTCAGGAAGATGTCAGAATTATCCATATATATTTATGACAGAAGGATTGAAGTGATTCTCAAGTATGTATTTTAACGGCTTAGTTTTCCATTTATTTGATTGCAAACAATTAACTTAGTTTCTTTTCTGTCTTTTCCACTAGGACTTAGAAGAACAAAGTCGCTTGATAGCTGCCTCCAGTAGACCAAACCAAGCCAGTAGTGAGGGGCAGTTTGTTGTCCTTAGCAGTAGCCAGTCAGAAGAGAGTGATTTGGGAGAAGAAGGAAAGAAGAGAGAGTCAGAAGCATAAATTTATCCTTGCTTTTGGTTGATAATCCCCCCATTGGAATTTGTTGACAATTTCTGTGGTGAAATGGCACAAGGTAAAAACTATGTTGAAATATCAAGGAAGAGACTAAAGTTTATATTTGCTTGTTTAACTTCATTTTAAAAAATAAGATTGACCTTGATGACTAAGGTTTGCATTGACTTTTTTTACTTAAAAATAATATACAATGCAGTAACATCAAATTCCACATGTCTAAAAGAAACCTCTTCATTGTCCTGAAGTAGATTGCTGAGGAATTACACTTACGCAAGCCTTTTTTCCTTCAAATTGTGAATTTATTATCTTGCATTGTACTATAAATGGCTTTGAGTGTAAATAACCATTTATTCTTCAGCTTCAGATATTCACGGTTATGCTCCCTCTTTCATTAGGAACATTTTGTTGGCAGTGAGGAAGCTTTCGACTGAATAGGTTCAAAACCCTTTACACAGAGAATTCTACCGGTTTGCAAATATTTTAACAATATTAAATGTGCAATAGAACTTTTATAAAATAATTATAACAGATTTTAGACTTAAGGTTTTAAATTGGGGCGGGAGGTACTGTTGATTTCAGGGCACTTTCTTGGATTGCTCCCATTTCTCTGATGTACTTCCACCTAATGCCAGTGGGAAGGAAGCGTAAGTGTCTTCAGTTCAATATTGATACAGCCCTTGGCATTTTATTATCACATTCTTAGTTCTCAGGTTGGGAATTCAATTATTGCTGCAGAGCAGTAGTGGTTAAAATAAGATTTTGGAATTTATTAAAAGGGATTTTTGTTTGTTTCTTGAAGCACATTTTAGATTAGGACTTAACATGTAAAGATATTGTTACAGGATAATACATTGTATTTTCTGCATTGAGTGAGATAATTTTTATTGAAAATCAGGTGACATTTCAAAGGAAGTTCTATAACAATTATGTTTTCTGCTTAAAGTAAAAATTCCCAGAGATTAGTTTAGAAAATGTAATCTTTTAAATTTCAGACTGATAACCACAGTATTTTCATAATCCCATGTTTTGATAAAATACTAATCACCACTTTATATCCACAAATGCAAATAACTAATATATGACAATAGAATGATTTGCACTAATTATTGTAAATACTTGTACTCTTGAAGTGAGTGAAAGGTCTAATTCCATGAAAGATTGAAATGAAATTGAATGCTTGGTATAGGAAAGTTGACCAAGGAAGGATTTTAGCCTGGTGTCAAGGTTAAAATGACATTTCTCTACTGCCTACTTCTATGTCAAAATTTGATTTTTTTTCTTTACTCAGATTTTAACATTGCTGATAGAAATTATGTTCCTGTGTTTCACATGTAAAAGTATATATAGACAAGTTAAATATATTGAATAAACTATTTTACATAGTCATACATTTAAAATTTTCAAGAGATTTGCCACTAAGACTAATTTTACAAGGGAAAATCATTTTGTCCTTTTTTTAATATACAATTTCTCTTAGTTCTAAATTAGAAATAGCATCAGTTTTCTCACAATACAGTGTGGCCATTTCACACTGTATGTACACTGTTTTCTGTAGGAATGAGATAGGTATTCTTTTTATCCTTGTGCCAAATGGGAATAATGATTACTTGATAGTCATTATTTTGAAGCCTTATGTTACTGAAACATATAGTGAAAAAGTAAAAATTTATGGAATACTTTTTGAAAAAAGTTTATTTTGTGCTTACTAAAGGGAATGTTTTCACAATAGTTTGTGTATTATTCCTTTTATAGAAATTGAAATTTCTTCTGTGGTCAGCATTTGATTAGTTATGGCAAGTCATACTTTTTGAGACCTTTTTGAGAATTAGTAAGTCTTTTTTTTATACTATTAAGTTGTCACCTCACTTAGCTCAGATGAAACTTGTCACCCTACAAGGGAGGTGGTCAGCATTAGGACACAGTTTTAGTAGGCTGGTGCTTTATGTGGTGGCGAAGTGCTACCCTTGGTTAGCACTCTGGGTCAAAGTGTATGTAGAGTTAAGGGTACTGATAGACATAGGGATGCTGGACAGACTTACAGTTCCTTTTAAGTCATGTTTTGATAGGAATTTACACAATAATACACCCATGTCCATAGGTCAGAGCGTCAGACCAAAGCACGTTCCAATGCCAAATACAAGTCACGTGTGGGTTTAATAATTTTAGATGATGCACCTTCTCTTCCATTACTATGGTACTATACGAACTATTCCATTACTACAGATATTTAAGCATCAACGTTAATAGACTTCTTTTTGTTTAAAGAAGGCTGCTCATGGGTTTCTACATAATGTTAAAGCTGACCTTTGTTAACCTTTGAAATCCCCTTTAGTTCTGGGATGCTTTGGTGTTAATTGAATTAGATTTTGGGATCTAGCTGAGATTCAAAGCTATGCTTAATGGTTTTTTATAAATTAACAGAACCGATTTCTTTAAAAGGAAAGAAATTAAGTCTACCTAATTCTGATATGCACTCTGCATCCTATATCAAAAATAGTTTTGTAACTATAGTCATGAAGTCAATAGATAGGAAACAAGTTATTCCTTCTCCCTTTAAAATTTTGAAAACTTGCTAATAAGGGACTAAAACTTAACCTTGAATAGAGTCCTCAAAGTCAGTCTAGTTTTTGCCAAGTCTACAATGATTACTTTGTAATTTCAAAAGACTTCTCAGGCTCTACAATCTATGGGGTGATAGATTTATTTTACCTTTATGCTTGAGAAAAGGATAGTAAGGTGTGCATAACATACTATGCAACATAATCTTGTGTGATAAAGGCATTAGAATTAATTTTGACTTATATATAGGAACTCAAAGTATTTAAGATTTAAATCTTAATTATAAATGCTGACAGACCCTGTGAACCCATGTATTACAAAACATTCTGCTATCTGAATAAAATGAAAATATTCACATTGGTTTTAATAACCTCCTAGCATTTAAACTGTACTTTAAATATTCAAGCACATTGTAGCAAGCAAGCCTTTCCATTTTATTTTTGGCAAGTTTAGCTTACTCTTCTTTCATGAGATTATTTTGTTTTACACTAATAAATAATACATAAAAATTTGAAACTGGAACTGTTATTTTTAACCAATATTTTTCGGCTATACTCAATGTAATTTACTTCAGTTAATATGAGAACTGGGGATTAAGTTATAACTAATGTGCAAAACTGCTTTGTATATTTGGTGATTTTGTGATGTAAGTGAATTGGGTAATTTTTATTTCTCTCATACTATTAATCATGCAGTATTCAGTTAAAAATCATGCTACATTTACCTTTAGAATTGGATTTGAAGAACTCAGCTTTATGTAGTGGTGGTATACATGTGGGGTGGAGAACTTATTTTTTCATTTTGTCAGAATAGATATTCCCTGATAGGGCTTCAGGAAATACGCTGTTAGGAGATTTTTAATGTATAATAAAGTCCATGATTTTGTACAGTCATTTTTGTATGAAATATTTGACATATATTCTGAATTTTATTTCTCCAAGTAGTTTCAAATGATGCTTATAAACAGTTGGACTTTTTCTTAATCTGTTATGACACTATGATTACACATCTAACCCCACTGCAGTTCCGTAACAGCTAAAATGAAAAAAAATTGTCACTTATTGAAAAGTAATACTAATTCATTACTAGTGACTCTTTTAGAAAAATAGGCTTCTCAGTAATTACCCTAGACATGTTACAGACAATGTGACCATGTATACTTGCTATGTTTGGTTCTATTCAAAGAAATTCCTATAGTTTAAAGGGACAGGTTATTGTGCACAACAGCGTAAGTGTCTTGGTCCTGTAGTTTTAATTCTAATGCATATTCATCCTGTGTGCTCTTTACAGTTTCCTATACCACTTACTAAGTTCTTTTCTTCTACTGGGAGTTTCTGTTCTAACTTGTTTTGAATTTTATAAAATGTATATACACTTTTAGAAGGTCCAGGGAGTGGATGAAGTTAACTTTAGAATTATGTAATTTATCTGATATAAGTGCATGTATCTCCTAAATATATTTGTATATTGACATACATATAAATCACCACTCATTTATAAACAGTACAATTTGATTTAAAAAAATAAAAACTATTCATGCCAGCTAGTTTTGCGATTTTTTTATGTGAAAACGGTATTAAAGATAATTTTAAGGTTGTGCTTACTGAAATAGTCTATATTGCATTGAATCCCTACATCAGAAAGAGATCATATAACTCCAGTTTACCTAAGATGGACTATATTATGCTAAAAAAGTATACTAAGACTAATCATGTAAACATGGGGCTGTAGTTGACTGGGCCTGTGGTGAAGATGGACTACATCACATCATCCGATCCCCCTCTCCTCTTTGTGCCATCTAAATGCCTAACATGTGGCTGAATGTGTCTTCTCAGTGTCTTGTCTCACTTTCCACACATAGAAACCTGTACTTACAGGCAGCAGGAATATATATAGAAATAAAAATTTAAACTAAGATCCTATAACTGCTTCTATCAGCGAGCCCCTCCTATGTGTCCAGTACTGAACTAGTCAGCTCAATATAGAAATTATAAGCCACCCATTTGAAAACATTTGTAGTTTCTATTCCAGTGATCACATTAACCAATAAATTGTAACCCTTAACTAGAGTTTTATGGAAAAAAGGGATGTATGTTTCCCATTAATGATGAAATTGCAATTGAAGGTTCTATTTCAATTATCTTAATTACCTTATCTTCATACTGGACTCTGCAAGTAAACAGACGCTAAGCTGCCTTTGGGACTCTTGCACAGAACAGCTAACTTCCAGGTCATGTGCTGGAGTCAGTATTTTTCAATGCAATCACTAAGACATTTTCTATATGTATTCCCTATAAAAAAGATTACTGTTAAGAATTATCAGAGGTGGCATCTATTATTTTGAGCATGTAGAAATGTAGATTAATACACTTAATATAAGATCAGTATACACTTAGAACCAATGTATTTCAGTTAATAGAATTTTTTACTACTTGGTCTTTTAAACTGCCTGTAAGAATGTTAGCCATCTATT